AGTCAGTCATTAAACCAGCCATTCAATCAGTCAGTCATTAAACCAGCCATTCAATCAGTCAGTCATTAAACCAGTCTGTCTCTCAGTCACTCGGTTATCAGAGTCTGTCAGCCAATCAACCAGTCCACGAGTCGGACAGTCAGTCAGTTACAGCCGGTCAGTGAATCAGTTAGTCAGTTAAGCGGTCAGTAAGTCCGTCCCCTCGTTCGTCTGTTCTACTGTCCGCTATAAACAAGCTTACAATCGGGAACTTGCTTGAACTTGTCCTAGTGGTAAAATATACCTGTCGCCCATAACCCTCATTTGCTCTTCCTGAGTGGCGTGGAGTAATGTGTCTTTCTCCCTAAGGTAGCTATCCACGCATCGTTCTTCAAACATCATCAACTTCTGAAGATCGTTGGTTTCTAGGAAACGCTCTGCCACGGAGAACACAAACTAAGTTAGGTTGGACGAAAAACGTTTCATTTCTTTCTTCTCTGATCACTTTCTGATTTCGTCAATTTTCTCGTCCTCCTTGTTTCAACCAGTCAGAACACACGTTATTTCGAAACTTTCTAATAAATGTATAAATATTGTGTAACGCTGACTTTTTAAAAGCTACAGAGTTCACTCTATCAAATACTTACAGTACACAGTCACTGCTACCTCTCCTTTTGTTCCATTACCATAAACATTGAACGGGATGCAGCTGTAGTTCACCATTTTTACTTTTTCACTAGCTGAAGTAGTAATCATTGCATCATTGCCTGCATTATCTACATACTCATTTCCTTCATAGAATCGATACTTTGCAGGTGGGTTGGCCTGTGCGCTGCAGGTGATACTGAATGTTTCACTCACAACAACGGTGTTGTCAGTCAGATTTGTTGTCATAGTGGTCTTTACTGGGTGGTAGTCTAAAATAAATTCAAAAGATCAGCACTCTTCGGGTTGAGTTATAATATATAGCTTTTTTTTTTAAACTCCCATTTGACATATCGGTGCACTACCGTATCTTTTACCTTCATTTGTTAATTCCGACAACGAACAATATTTTACGCAACTGAACTTTTGTGTCAAATATGCTCAAGTTTTCACCGCTGTTGAATAGGTAAATAAAGCCTGTGATTGTTATTGTAGCCTCTAAAAATTGTTGAGTGAAGTGTTTCTACGCTACAGTACAGCGTTAGTGGTGCATTGAGGTTGAAAAAATTGTTTTTATGGTGTATTCTCAAACTGTGCTAATAACGTCATCCTGGACACCTAACTACAGTAGTAAGGTTTTAGAAACATCTCTGAGTTCTTTCTCTTACGAAGAAGAGAAAGAACTCTACGAAGATCTTGAAGATGCATATGGGCCCATCTTGCCCGCTCGAGATTGTCCGTATTGATCCCGTGCAAGGAAAAAGCGCTTGGAGCGGACTTCTACTGAGTTCGTATCTTTAGGAGAACGTCCGAAATGAAATCGCAAAAGCAGCAGAAGGTCAAAAGAAAGAAAAACTTCAACGACACTCTTGGGTTTATTGTGCTACAAACACGGTTGACTTTCTTTCCCAGCTCTCGAAATAAACAATTCATTCTTGATTCTTATCAAAGTGAAATATTTTTGCGATATAATAAAAAAAATTTTTTTAACAAAGCTTGTTCGGTCAAGATGGCTGGATATTAGTCTCCTTCTTCGATCGTCTCGGCCCATCAAAACTCAAAAGTAAGAGCTCGGCAATATCCAGCCATCTTGACCTCATGCTCGGTCACTAACGCACCATTTTACGCTAAAAATTATCGGCTTTGAAACGGATCGAGGCAAAAGTACAGCTACGCCATACATGTTAACACTCGTTCAGCACATCTTTAGGATACGCTTTATGTGCGAGGCAGAGGATAGAGAGATGGTGAATTGTGGCGCCGATCGTCAAACAGTATCATTGCCTTAATTT